ACCACCGCTTCGACTCATACCTACAATGTTTATAAATTTTCTCAATACATGATCAAAATCTAACTCAACTTTAACTCAACCACACTATTCATAATATTATCAATATAATTAAATATATTAAATCAATCATTCTTATACATCACATCAACATTAATTCACTCACATAATTTGAGCTAATCATCACTTCATATCATCTCTCTCATACTTTTATATCAAATCAACTTTAATTATTTTATTATATATATTATTTTATTATAAACTCAAAATCTCACGAACAGCTAACCATACCACATTTTTAAAAATTAACTAGTACGTCACCTGCGCGTTGCGCGACCTAATATTAAAAATGATGTGAATGAATTATAATTTAATAAAAGATTATTTTAAAAAACATCTAATGAGATAATGTAAAATAAAATTTTTATTAATACATTTAATAGTAGATGAAGTGTGTTCATTATCACCAACTGTAATAATAATTAGACAATATAAATTCGTGACTCTATAAACAATAATAACATATAATAGTTTGTAACTAAAAAATACAATATATATTTTTCTTAAAATTTTTAAAATTAAATTCATAAGCTTACAAATATGTGACATGCCATTAAAAAATTATTTGTTACATTAATGATACTCATTCAAATTTTTTCATAAAAATGTCTACGTGATAATATAATTTTCATAAATCCCAAAAAAAAATAAAGCCATAATTACTATTCTACAAATAAAATAATATATGAATAATTAAAGTTAATATGTACGAAGATGAAAAAAATAAAATTTTCATATATAAATTAAACTAAAGAAAAAAAAAATAAAAACGACCCAATTTCGATCTGCACTTATTTAGTTATAAATTGGTCCACAAATTTTTTAATTTTTTGTTAACAAAATAAATCTCAACATTTCATTATCTTGCAAAATAAGTGCAATGGTGATTAAAGAATGACGTGAAAGATTGATCATTTTTCGTAAAGTTATAAATAGATCCAGTAATCAATGAGAATTATATTCAATATAATTTTTTTAAATGCACATTGACAAAATTTTTGTAAAGTAATACGAAAAAGGCATTTAAATTATATTATATAAAATCTAAAAGAAAAAAAAAACATTTTTGTAAAACTAACATTATGGTATATGATAAGAAAAAAGTAGTTGTTGCATTAATAAGTTGTGTTTAATTTTACCTACTGCAATGTTCAGTTGCGATAACATGCTCTCATCACTCTCTTATGAGAAAAAAAATTGTTATATGAACAAATTCAAACGACAATAGACATATTATGCTAGTTTTATTTAGAAAATTTTTTGTCGCATAATTGTGTATTTGTTAAATACTTTTTTTTTGCATGAAATCTATGACAATTGTACTTCAATGTAATATTAAAATACTTATTTTTGCATGAAATCAATGAGAATTGCAATTAAATATATTTATTAGAAATGCACATTGACAAAAATTTCGTAAAGTAATACGAAAAAGACACTTATATTATATTATATAAAATTTAAAAGGATTTATTTATTTATTTTTTTTTATAAAATTAACATTATGATATATGATAAGGAAAAAGTAGTTGATACATTATAATAAGTAGTGTTTACCTTTATTTACTGCTATGTTCAGTTGCAATAATATGCTCTCATCATTTTCTTATGAAAAAACAATATTTGTTATGTGAATAGAAATTAAACGATAACTGATACATTATGCTAATTTTATTTATAAAAGTTTTAGCTAATAATTGTGTATTTATTAAAACAAAGAAGGGGAACCACTTTTCACCTATTTTTGTAAAACCTCACATTTAAGCTCAAATGACATAAATGGTACAAATAATTATTGGATCAAATTCAATCAATAGGACCATTCAAAACTATATTATCATTTTCTATCACTCATATTGTTGTTGAGACCTCTCACTCTTTATGTTATCATTTTCTAATTTTTTTTTTTCATTTCATAATATCATTTTACAATATTCTTATATTGCTTACCCATAAATGTAACTAAATTAGATGCTATGTTTGAACACTAAATCAATTATTTTTATATTGTATACAAACTCTGACAATAAATGTTCACCTCATTGTACAAAATAAAAGTTTATGTCTATACATATCGAATGTACAAAATAAAAGTTTATGTCTATACATATTGAATTTTTTTATTATATACTTTAAAGTTGTATTTTTATTTTCTTATTATATTAAAAAAATACTCAAGATGATTACCATCAATGTTAGATCAATAGCCCAAACATAGTTTGCATGAAATTTAAGATAAGTATAATTAACTTATTATTTATAGATACAAAATTATTTCCAAATGACAATAATAAAACATTTAATAATAATAATAAATAAGTTTGAAACAATAAAAAATAAAACTAACAATTGTGATATATGATGAAGAAAAAATAGTTGTTGCATTTATTGCAAGTTGTGGAACTTTATATGTCGCAATGTTTCGATAAAGATGATACATTATAGTCATTCTTAAGAAAACAATTTACCATATACAAATAAAACATTAACAATAAAATTAACCCGTTGTGTATTCATAAATTATAGTTGTATAATTATGGACCAATAAAAAAAATAAAAACGAATGCAAAAACTTTATGCGCATGTTTTTGAGTGGCCTCTTCCAGATTTAAAAAATAAATAAATAAAACAAATTATACCAACTAAAAATACAAAGCACCAAAAACCAATATGAAACAACCTAAAGTATAGTTGAAAGTTCATTTAAGAAATGAACAATATATATGCATATTTCTTTTCAGTTTTCACAATTCAATTCATGAGTTGTCTCTTTCAAATGATATTATCTCTTCGTTTGTAAATTATCATTTGTAATTTTTTTTTTGTTTTACAATAAATGCAGCCAGATTTAATTTTTGAATCCTAAGATGTCTTATATTTTTTTTTTCTTTTGTTTTCATTATTTCATATTCATGGTTTATTGCTAAAGAAAACTTAAATCTATATAGTTCTTTTACCCAAGTAAAGGTTATTCAATGTTTTCGAAATCTATTTCATATTGATATAAAGGATCATCCCCAAAAATTATAGATAATATTTTTCAATACAATTATTTATATGTAATTCTTTTACACAACTTTCGTTTCAATATTTCGATTTTTGCCCGTTGTTCATACACTAATTCCTTTACAAATATGTGGCGTGGTTTTGTCTAACCAAGTTCCTTATATTAAATGGATGTTCACTACATTAGCCACAAGGCCCCCTTTCGAGGCTAAAATCAATCACACTATTGACAAGTTTTGGTACCAAGTCCCAATTACACACGTTCAATTGACGAAAATCTTCGTTTGATGTTTTCTAGGATTGAGACTTAAAATTTCAACCAATCGTTTGAATTAAATTCGTATGGCCTTAGTTTGAAATTGGGTTTGTAACAGTATCTTTCGGTTGTCGTACACGATTGCATCTCTTTCGAAATTTAATAAGGTGATTAATAATATAATTATTGTAGTTAAGATTATTTAAAACGTGTGTACAAATAATGTCAACCTTTGAGTGTTTGCTAATAAAAGCTACGTGTACGCGAGGGCAGCTGCTGTGATGCGACTCCATTAAACGTACTCCATCGTAAATATGATAAAAGTCGCGCTCCATTATAAATTTTATAATTAGTTTCGTGTGATTGGATAATACCATTTTTCCAGAAGTTTTGACCGTGAAGAGTAGAAAGAAATTATTTGTGGACAAAAGTCAGGTAAATTTAAGGGTATAAATAAATATAAAATAAAAAAATATAATGATTAAAATTGATGTAATATAAAATTAAGCAAATATTAATTGATAAAATTTATAGTTAGATATATGTGAGTGAATGGATAATATTTTGTTGAAAAAAATATACAATATAACTATTTTTTTTAATAATGTTAGTGAGGTTTATAGGGGAAAAATGAGATGAAATTAATGTGTACATTTTCATAGGGGATTTAATGCACCAAACCTCCCTGTATTATATTAAATCTGCGCGTTTCCCCATCGAATTTAAAAATTGCGTCATACTCCCTTCTATCAAGGTTTCAAGTGAACACGTTCCCTTGTCTCTACACGTTCCCTTGTCTCCATTTCTCCGTTAACGGCGTTAATTTTTCTTCAAAAGTCCCGTTATACCCTCTGAATATTAATATATCGCGAGAAATTAAATTTTTCATCAAAAGTCCCGTTATACCCTATGAATATTAATATATCGCGAGAAATTAAAAAAATTACAGCCCTTAGAATTTGAACCCGATACCTCATGGGAGCAAGACAAGCAATGCAATCACTACACCACTCAAGGTTGAGTGTTAGAACTAGAAATGTTTGATATATATGGACATTGTTAAGGATAAGTGAAATTAAATTTAGAATATATAAATTATATTAAATTAAATTATTAAAATATAAATTTATGATAATTCAAATATAATAAACTAAATTATATAAAATTAAATGTAAAAAATAATTTAAATAACTTATTATGTTAAATGAAAAAAAATAATTAAAATAAAATATAAATAAATATAAAAAATTGTAGTTAAATAATAAATAATATAATAATTAAGTAAATCTATATATTTATAAAAGATCATTTTATTTTTATATTAAATAGTAATATATTTATTATGAGTAAATCATATTAAAATTATTTGATAAATAATATTTTTTATTATATTATATTATATTTATTTCAGTTCTTTATTTATTTAATTTATTATTTTGTAATAAGACATTTGACTTATTATTTATTTTACATTATAATTTTTATACTTTATTATCTTATATAATTATAATTTTTATTTTTCTTTAATTAGTTTATTTTAATTTTATTTATTTATTAATTTCATTTTTGTATTTATTTTTCTCATTTAAAATTTATTTAATTATAACTTTATTTAATTTTAGTTCACGTTAATACATTAAATTTTATCTTACTTTATTTTAATTTAATTTTTTTTATTATTTTAAATTAATTTAATTTATTGGAAGTTATTTGTATTATTATTATTAATAATTATTTAATTTATAGTAAATTGACATATTATCCTTTTATTTTATTTATTTACTTATTTTTAAACTATTTAATTCATTTCAGTATGATGTATAGATATATGTATGTTCAATAGATTACAAATCCATTCATATGGCCTAGTGGTTGAGCGGTCGTTTCCTTCCTTTCCAACCCATGTTCAAATCTTGTTGCCCACATTTCATACCATTTAGGTTTTGCACATAATTCAAGGGTAAAACAGTAATTTCTGCCACTTTGGGGTGAAAAAACGAAGAAAAAGCCGCACAGCACGCGCATGCACTCTCACGCAATTTTTAAAATACAGGGGGAAACGCGCAAATTTAGGGTGTGCTTGTTTATGAAATATTTCATTCAAAATGAGTTATTTTAGTTAACTAGAGTTAATTTTGAAAAAGGTAGTATGATTAATTGTTAGTGGGATTTTAATAATATATTAAAATAATGTTTAAAATAAAATGATTATTAATGATTTGATGTAAAAGTAGGATATAAATGATTGGAGATGATAGGTAGTTAAAATTATGTGAGTGGATGAATAGTGAATTAAAGTTGATGTGATATGTAAGAATGATTGGTTTATAATATTTAATTATATAAATAATATAAATGATAGTGGGGTTGAATTAAAGTTGAGTTAGATTTTGAGTGTGAAATGAATTATTTCATAAACAAGCATGCCTTAGTATAATACAAGAGGATTTGGTGCATTAAACCCTTTTCATATGCCACCGTTTAATCCAAACAGATTAAAAATTAAATTATTTTATTAATAAGGAGTTAAAAGTCATAGTCAACAAACAGACATGTGACATGACTATCATTGCTTTTCGAATGAACTTTATGACGAACTAATAAAGTAGACATGGTTAATCTCAATGTTGATTTTATTTGTATGTGATGCATAAAAATTAGTTGAAATGAACCTTTAAAATAAGTGAGCGGTTAGGTATGTTTTCAATATGTTATCTCACTCAATAATTAAAATTCCACTATTCATTCTTTTTTTTTTACAATTATATCTTTTAATACAACTTCCAAACAAAAAAATCCATCAAATTTCGCTTTTAAATTTATTATTTATTAATTCACATATTTATACAATCAATCGTTATTTTACTCCCACATCACAATTATTAATTGTTATTATAACACATCAATTTATATTAAATGATGATAAATACTTTTACTAATATTTCTGATAGATAATTATAAAAAATCCTAAAATTCAAATTGAACTTTGGAATACCCCATCAACCAGTTGTGCCGTGTGCGTTTCCATCAACCACACGATCCACACATCTTATATGAAAATAACTGTTTATTGCTATATTAAAGAATAATTTAATATTTTTACAATTTCAATTATTACAAAAAAAACGAATATATATATAAAAGTCTCTGAAGACCGAACAAATGCGTACCTTCTTCATCATTGTCTTTTTTTCGTTCAGGAAGGCATTTTACCGAAAATGGCCATCGGCGTACCCACTAACAGAGCTCAAACAGCAGAGTATGATGGCGAGATTACAACAATGGTGCTGCTTTCTTGTATTACTGCAGCCACTGGTGGACTTCTCTTAGGCTATGACACTGGAGTTACTGGTATTTTTTTTTTTTTCATTATTTTGTTAAATCTACAGATTTTTTATGCTCAAAGTATATTCCAAGGAGAAATCTTGTTTGGTTAGCAAATGTTGATTTTCGGTGATAGATTTGAGTTTGTTTGTCCCTTTTTCTGTTTGTGGCTCCGTACGTGTAAAAAATAGGAGACTATGTGATGAGATCTCAGCCCTAGTTTAACGTTAGGCAGAGAAATCGAGTGCACGATTCTGTGTTGTTCTACGGAAATAACCACTTATGCAGGGAGTTTTCTTGGTTATGTGCTGAAATTTTTTACTTGTAACTTTTAATTATTTATGTGTGTGTTGGTTTCGGTGAAGGTGGAGTGACCTCGATGGAGCCATTTGTGAAGAAATTCTTTCCCGGCATTTACAACAACACGAGCAAGGAGACAGAGACGAGCAACTACTGCAAATTCGATAGCCAGCTCTTGACTGCTTTCTCGTCCTCGATCTACATATCGGGTCTTATAGCCTCCTTTTTCGCTTCACGGGTCACTAGAGACTTTGGGCGCAAGAGGTCCACCATAGTAGGTGGGGTCGCGTTCCTGTTTGGTGGCGTCATTGGAGGTGCCGCTGAAAACATTTACATGTTGATTTTAGGCCGTCTCCTTCTTGGAGTCGGAGTTGGCTTTGCAAACCAGGTTAGTTAATCGTGCTGTGCAGTTTCTACTAAAATCCAATTAACTGTGTGCCTTTCTGCTATGAAACGAAATTTCGATTAGCTACCTAAAACGATGATTGCCATTATCCATATTATATGTTTTTTTCTGTTAGTACTCAGTTCCACGAATTTCAACACTCACACAGAACAAAAAAAAAATTGAAAAATCCTTTGCAGTCGGTCCCTTTGTACCTCTCGGAAATGTCCCCTCCGAAATACAGAGGCGCCTTCAGCTTCGGCTTCCAATGCTCCCTCTCCATCGGGAGCACCTCTGCCTCTCTCCTCAACTACGGCACTTCAAAGATCAACACAGATCTCGGCTGGCGAATCTCCCTAGCCGCCGCCATAGCCCCCGCCGCCATCCTCATCCTCGGAACACTCTTCCTTCCCGAGACCCCCAACAGCCTCATCCAGCAAGGCCACGACGCAGAGGCCACCAAACACCTCCTCCGAAAAATCCGAGGCACGAGCAACGTCGAGGCCGAGCTCGACGACCTCATAGCCGCCGCCGACCGCGCCTCGGCCCAAATCAAACGCCCGTTCGCAAAACTCCTAAAACGGGCTTACCGTCCCTACTTAGTAATGTCTGTGGCCATCCCGTTTTTCCAGCAGATGACGGGGATTACGGTTATATCCTTTTATGCGCCGATCCTTTTCCGAACGATTGGGTCGGACGAATCGGACGCACTCATCTCGTCGCTCATCACGAACTCGCTCGGGATAGTGACGACTTTCGTCTCATCTCTTTTTGTCGATCGTTTGGGTCGTCGCCCGACTTTCATGCTTGGGGGGTTGCTAATGTTCGCCGCGCAGGTGATGGTCGGGGGAATTATGGCCGCGAAGCTCGGGGACTATGGGGCGTTGAGCCCTGGGTATAATGTGGCGGTTGTGGTTTTGATATGCGTGTATGTGGTGGCGTTTGCGTTCTCGTGGGGCCCACTCGGGTGGCTTGTGACGAGCGAGGTTTTCCCGTTGGAGGTGAGGTCGGCGGGGCAGAGTGTGACGGTGGCGGTTAGCTTCTTCTTCAGCTTTTTGATCGGGCAGGTGTACCTGGCGCTGCTGTGCGCGTTCAAGTGGGGGGCGTTCGTGTTTTTTGCAGGGTGGGTCGGGGTGATGACGGGGTTTGTGTATTTTTTGCTGCCGGAGACGAAGGGTGTGCCGATAGAGAAGATGGGGTGGATATGGCGGGAGCATGGATTTTGGAGGAGGTATGTTGACGGAGATCGGGAGTGGGCGGAGGAGGAGGGCGGCGGCGGAGTTGAGGAGGAGCCCTTGCTGTCGTCTTCCTCTAGATAGGTTTCTATATGCTTGGTTGGCCGTTGGATTTGGGGGAGATTATTCTTGGCGGTGTTGCTTGATTCAAAAGATTTTTTGTTTGGCAAGCACTATCTATGTAATTCGTATGATTATTAATTAATTATATGATTTGTGAACATATGTTTTGGCTTGGCTGGGCTGTACCGTACAAGTGTTCTCTCTCATAATAAATATTTGCTGCAACAATTGTACAAAAAAAGAAAATTGATTAATTATGATCATGTTTTTGGGCTGGCTGTACTATACAAGTGTACTCCCTCATAATAAATATTTGTTGCAACAATTGTAAAAAAAAAAAGAAAGAAAACTGTTCTGTTTAATTTTTCAACAATTAAGTTCACTAGTAGATTCCATTATTAATTAAAAATTTATGACGAGTTTATTTTTTTTTATGTAGTGATCGTAAAATAATTAAATAAAAAATTGTTATTACTTGCTAGAACACAAGTATAAAAGGACAATAAAAATTGTTACAGATATTAATTACTGTTGATAGGTTAAAATTGAAATCAGGAGGAGCGCCATACAGACGAACAGACCGTTATGCCTTGAAGCATCTAGAAGGGGAGGCGTGCTAGCCTGCAACAGTGGTCCACGGTGGACATGCCACGTGGTGTGCTCCCATTGGTCGAGAAAACGGAAAAGAAAGATATTTTTTTCTTTTTTCTCTCTTTCCCCGTCGTATAACGCAAGCTGATTCTATTCTACCACTGTCACATTTTCCGCCGTCGATCGTTCTTTGATTTTTCGGATTATTTAGCCGACGAAAAGTAAAAGGTTAGAAAGAGCTTGATTTTCTCTTTATTTAGGGTTTTGCACTGATCCATCGATCTTGTTTGTTTGATTTCAAGGGGAACAGAGGCGGAGAAAACGAAACAGAGGTGATTTTTCTTGATTTCTTGTTTTATAATTCTATTTTTTCCCCTGTTTCCTTTTTCCCTCTCGCCTCGAATGATGAGTCCTTGCTTTTGAATCATATGGTCTGTTGTTTGGATTTACCTGGTTCGGATTTCAATACTGTCATCCTTTGATGATCGGTCAAAACCATTAGTGGTTTGGAACTAGTAATTCGTTTTCTTTTAATTATCTTTCCTGTCAAATTATTTATGGCGATGCGTTGCTGGTTTGAAAATTCGCTGTTACTGTTGATTAGTGTTCAACAGTTGACCACTTATGATTGTGAAATCTGCTGCTCCAATGGTTTAGTTCACGGATGACAAAACTCAATAGTTATGCTATACAGTTGATTTATTTATTTATAATAATTGAATGTTTGTCCATTGCAAATGGAGCTGGAAGAGTCATTGTTGACAATTCTCCTCGCATAGTGCTAATAATGGACTAGATCAAAATGGCTCAATTAAATTCTAGTGCTTCTTCTATTAGTGAAGTTTCTAGAAAAAAAAAATATATATATCAAACGGCGTAATGCACCCTGGGTCGCTACGGAAACAGCCTCCTTGTATAATTACAAGGGTAAGGTCTGCGTACAACTGACCCCCCAGACCCCAACCTGTTGGGAATATACTGGGTATGTTGTTGTTATTTATAATAATTGAATGATAAATCATAACGGTGAAGTTAATCCGCTTTGATATCTGCCTTAGTGTGGTGCTCGTCTGAGTTAATGAGGCTTATACGCATCCTTTTTTGGTTTTGTGTGACTGAATTGAACAGACTCAACTAGTTTTGTTTTCCCTGTGGAAGTTGTATTTTTGGATACTTCAAATGCCTTCAGCGGTTTCGCCCCTGTGGCAAGAGAAAGCTAATGATTTTTTTCAATCCTCGGGTACGTCTTTTAATTCCGCATAGTGTTTATTGGTCCTTAGTTGCATATCTTTTAGCTACTTTTAGCGTTTAGTACATTCCTTGTACCTACGACGAGTGGGTCACGCCTGAATGTTGAAAACTAGGTGTCAAGCTCAAAGAGGCAGGACACTCTGCTGGAACATTTGTTGGGGAGGTTGCAAAGGATGCAAAGGAAAACGTTAGTGATGTGGCAGGGAAAGTCGGGTCAGCAGTCAAAAGCCGGTGGGCTATCTTCCAGCAACCATCTACCAGGCATGCGATGCAAGAGCGCCTTATTTCTGCGGCTGCTACAACAAGCATGTTTTTGAGAAAGGGCTTTTCGGAGACAAAAGATAAAATGGTTGTCGGTAAGACAAAAGTGGAGGAGGTAATTTGAAATGAGCTTCTTGACATTGGATGTCCGTCCAGTTATGACTTCAATTGATGACTGGCTTGTTTTTCACTGGATGCATTTTTTTTATTTTTTTTTGTTCTTCTTCTTTTTTTTTTTTTTTTT